CATTATTCCTGTACATACATACTCACCAACGTGACAGTGTGAGTAAAATGACCCAAGAATACTGTTGAGCGGGTGATTTATATTTCCCGCTCACGTGACTAACAAAGCTCACGTGACTGCCAAAAGGGCGGGAATGCTTTCGTAATAATGTTTAACCCTATTACACATGCCCCCCCCCCCAAAAAAAAAAATATATATATATGATGGCGTCCCGCCATTCACAATCATATTTACAAAATATGCACACGGAAGTAAATTAAATGACAAAAATACATTACATTAAAAAATACAAATTATCCACATTACATTAGCAATTTATACTTGTGAGCGTGCACACACACACACACACACACACACACACACATACAGCCACGCACAAGCAACCTTTACATTAAGGAAACGCGACTGAATACGCAACTTATAAGAAAAGACAAAACTACTAATGCAATCTTTTACTTTTTTATTTCCTCTGACTAAAACATTAAAATATCTTAAAATCACATTTTCTCAACTTTACACAACTTTGCCAACAATTCAAATATCGTTTGACTAGCACAGATGAATTCCCCATACACTCCTACCAGTGCATTCACAGAGCTAGGATGCTCTGTTGCGACTTGTGAGAAAACATAATTCCCCTCCTCCATCCATTGAGGACTCGCGTCTTTCGGCATTTTTTTTTTTTGGGGGGGGGGGGGAGGAGTGTAGTGGCTGGCCGCTTAATGTTTAACCCTATTACATGCACATACTTTTATACTTAGTATTTTTATGGAGAAAAGGGCATAACATCTGGCGCACTCGATGTGTTTTCTAGTCTCATTGCTGTTTCTCCTGTCTCCACATCTAACACTATGTACTGCCATGGCGGAGAACAAAATGACAGAAGCCTGCACATTAGTGAGTCTGTGAATCAAGAGACGGCGCCACCAGTCGTAGGTGACGTCATTCCAGGACGTACATCTGGCGCCTTTCTCGGTCAGGTAAACTGATGACTTGACTGGTATATCATATCACCATTTGACTCTGCAGCATATACATGTAGAATATAGCATTGCGTAACAAGGCAAAATGAACCGATTTTGATATTGAGCATATAACATTAAAACTATATAATGCATAATTGTTCCACCTTTTGACTTTGTCTTTTGTAGAATAACAATATGAAGATGTAGATGTAGGTGGATGTTAAGCATTCCATAATCTACATGAGCTTCATGCGAGACATCTATTTCTGTTCAGGTTATTTCAAGGTTTGAGAAAGGGGGCTACGTTTTCCTGGAGTGTATCCCCATCCAGGACTTAAACAAAGACACGGTGCTGACGTCTGCTCCCTACACAGCTTTCCACCCCGACAGACGACTGAACAACGAAATATCCACTGATGGAATATTTACATCACTGAAACAGGAGGCGGTGTTTGAGGTAATTACATGTACCTGCGGTGCCAACTTGCATGTTGTTTCTGCATGTGTTGAATACAATGGTTATTACAAATATTGTAGCTTGTCGTTAAACTAAATCATGATATGGAAAACGTAACGGTAAATACTTAGCTACCGATGCAGCGACCAAATAATACAATGGATTTAATTACATATTGTGTTTTATTAAGGCTACGTACTTAATACTTATACACACGAAACACAAATATTCTGGAATACATAAATGCACACGGTACTCCACCCCCCCCCCCCTTTGCTTTGCATGCACTCCCTCCCCCCTTCGCTTTGAACAAGTCCTTTCTCCCTTAAGTATATCGCAGTGTATAAGACTAACATTTACCTTTGTATATAGACAACCTCAGCGTTAAGAAATCAGCTGTCAGTTGACATGAATATAGTGGTGACAGCAGGACTGCAACTCCATCTACAGTCCACTGTTCCTAAAGCACAGAAGATAGGGATCCGACTGGATGCAACCATTGACTACAATATGAACAACAGTTATGAGGCATTGGTCAGGTGTGAATGGTCCAGTTATTTACATTCTTAACGTAAACAATGTGAACACCACGAAGTTGTAGATTGTTGAATAAAAGTCATGACTTGCTGTTTTTGTAATTTCATTGTTTGCAACCATTATTATAATCACTACAAGCAAGGAAAACGTACTTGCTACAAGCATTGGCTGCCCATTAAGGAAATATTACAGTTTGGCCATTTTACAATTGCAACATACAGTGCATGTACAACTATTCTTAGGTAGTCTGTATGCTGTTTTAAACTTGTGCGTTTCTTTTATTTACAGATACATCGAAGTCAACGAAGATCATTATCTTGTATCTAAACGTACATCTCTTGGTGTGCACTGCTTGGCTATCTCACAAGACGTCTGCTTGCCTCTTAATATCGCTCTCCTCAACATGAAGTACAGTTTTACGGCAGCATTCCAGGTAAGTGGGAAGCAGTAACACCGACCAAAAACGGTTTAACTGTACCGGTGGTCTGTTGAGGTCGCCTGTTTGAGAGGAAGACTAGAGTCCTTCGCCTTCGTCCTTCGCCTTATTTTCGCAGTTTATAACACCTATAAATCAGACCCATTATAAGACCCGATCACCCACAGTGAAGTCATAGTGTTCTGTTGTTCCTGCAATCCCCAGCTGCCTATGTGTATGTGTTTGTGTTTTTTTTAATCCTGAAACTCGCCCAAATTTCAGGGCACCGGCACATTGCGATATCATTCCCGAGGACGAGTCCGGCAAACTCTCGGTGCAACTTGGAGATATGGAGCCGGCGGGGAGCACTTTCCCAGAGCTGCTGTAAGTTTCAGTTCGCTGGGCATTATTATATATATATTTATGTATTTGCAACTTATTTGAAACTTTCGGTTTACTGCATTTTAACCAGAATTTGTTCTTAGCGAAAAAGAAAGAATCCCCCGCATCATTAGCTGCTGCCAGTCTATCCAAAGGCACCCACTTTTGCTGTAAGGTGCGGATGTATGGTTCTATTATTGATGTTCGTAGTGAACGCTCTACTCACATTATTTGTCTATTCAGTTCAACCACTGTACCATTGGTATTTTCATTGTTCTAAGGAGTGTAATATTTAAGCGGGTTTTCTGTACTTTATTAATAAAATCATTTATAGTAGTAGATATTCATACAAGTTATCAAAGAATTAACATGTTAGGAGTACACATTTAAAAGACAATAAATTCCAATTTAATTCTGAATATAGTTGTGATTATGGCTTTCAGATATTAAATTGTGTTCTGGAAATTACTGTTTCTGTGTAATACAGACAACCTGATGAGTTGATTCTGATATAAAAAGTAATGAGCTTTGAGTGAGAACAGAGTTATGCGCCACTGTAGCTAAAATTGAATTGAAGCATCTGTTTTTCCAGGTGACTGACGTGACACATGATGTAGATCACGCAGATGACATGGGCAATGTTCATCTAATCGTTGCCATAGAACCAGCGTTGTACGTGCAGTTTCCAAGTGCCTCGGATACCATAGTTCACGACCTCGTCAACCCTTCGCTCCTTCTCCGTTTTCTAAAGAATTTGATAGGTAAGTCCTATTCCACAGTCCTAGTGTTCCAATACGGCAGTGACATGTTTCTGCATTTCGCTTTATGCCCCCTGGTAATATTGGTGTCTGTACCGCAGGTGGGACTGCATAATGAAGCCATCAGCAAACAGGGCACAGAACACCAGCAAAGCATACTTGTATGTACACATATAGCACGGCCGAAGACCTATGCCTTGGCACATTTGCTTACGTTGTTTTGTAAATTTACTGCTGGAATTGGTATGTAGTATTGTAAAAATTTCGTTAGCATTATCCTTTCAGAAACGACTATACGCATGCTAAAGACTCTTAAGCGATGGCTGTTTAATTAGAGTATTGCAGTGTAGTAGAAGACATATGTAGGTGGTGTCATGCACGTACGTGAATGTGTGAATATTTAGGGTTTGGGTGCAGGAAACATGTCATTGTTGTTTCAGACCCCGATGTTGTCAGCCAGTCAGAAACTGTCACGTACACGTCTACAGCCCCTATCACGGACGGCTTGAACATCACCACGTGTTCTAAGATCTGTTCCGGGCGTGAGGGCGTGCACCTTGTGGTCCACAAAGCGGGACCGGGGTACAGAAAAGACGCTGGGTTTCTTCGTTTAGAAGCGTCATATTCGATTTTCACAAGCCTTGAAGAATATGTGCTTGTTCCTGATTCTATAAAAGCTTCTGCGTAAGTGTGTGAACCGTTGTGTTTGACATCTTCGTATCCGATGTGTGTATTACGTATTTCAGATCAAGCACCAACAGTTAGGTGTTTCAATACCAAGGTGCATTACCATACAGTTATAGAAAAATTAACTAAGAACGTCAGCTTAACAATTCATTAGAACTTAAAGTGTGTCTTTATTTTACAAAATTTAGGTATATTCATTAAGGGCATTGAATGGTGATCATTAAGAAATACATTTTAACCGACATTACAGGCACTGTAGGCCAGCTACGGTAGCCACCACGTGTCCTGTTGGACCCGGTACCTGCCTATGTCCTGATGGAAGCAGTAGTATTGAGGTGATTTGTGTCATTTGTGTTTTGATTGCCCTAACAATCCTGGTACTAATAAGTTTATGTGTTGCAGGACATTTTCTATTGCTTCATACGTTTCTAAGTCCCATTAGTCTTTCAACATCAAAACGTGAGTGATCAAACTTCATGGCCGAGCAATCAAATAGGCCTACAACATTTACAGATTTAAGTCGATGGCAAATTTTTGTAATATAAATATGAAAGTCATATTAAGATATGGAACCAATTGTTAATATTTGGTTATGATTGACAGCATAACCACAGTTGCCAGTGTGACAAGTGCCCGGATGGTAAAACTAAAAAGGTGATCACTGATGACCCTTCTCAGCCTGCGTGTCCATGTCACTGTGCGGACGGTTGGCCACGGGAGATGAACGCAGACGGCACGTGTGAGGTGCGGTACATGTAAATATTCACAAAATAAATTATGGTGTATTTGTGAAAATTTTCATGAAGGTTTTAAGTAAAAAATTAATCGAATTATTTCTATGCGCAGTACAATCCAGACATCATTGTTATCACTTTGATTATGTTTTAAAATAATGGAACCAAGGCAAAACGTTAATATTTCAGTGAATTTTTGTGTACAACTTTAACTGACTTAATGCTTTTGACATCCGTATATCAATCGATCTTGAAACCATATTTTTTCTGTTATTATATTTCTGCCCAGTTTATCAATGTGTATATTTCTAGTGTGGCTGTGAGTGTCCAAATGGCGGTTATGGTACCGTTAAACCTGATGGTGGCTGTCATTGTTCATGTGAATGTAAAAACTGCCAGAACTCGGTTATAACTAGTGACGGTACGTGTTACTGTCCGAATGATATGTGAGTATACTGCACCCCACGTAGAAGCACAGACAGGTATATACTTATATTGGTAAACGTGGACACCTGTTATATTCTGTAATTTATCAAATATGCTTGTAATGAGGGAACTATTTACAGTTATGTGCTATAAGTTTCTGAAATATTGAAGTCATCTGATTTGAATGACTTTTTTCGCCTCTACAGCTGCCCGGTGTGTGACTCTGCCTACGAGCCCGTGTGGGAAGACTGTCGCTGTGTTTGTCGTGAGAAGACCCAGTGTGGACTGTACCCTGCCTGTGTACGAGGTCGACGTGGAGAGCAATGTGGCCAGCCGGACTGTGAGCCATGCAGTTTACAGACGGACAACGGGTTGCAAGGTGAATCGCGCCAAATTTAAGTGTAAATGCACCATAGCCTGGCTTGAATTTACATAGCAAAATAGACATTTATTTTCAATTTGTTATTTTGTACAAATGTTTTCCTTTAAATTATTTATTATAATATATATCCTTCATTATTTGGTTGTGTCTTATGCCTGCTAAATGTTCTATAAACTAGCCACTAAATTCATACAAACAGTCGTTGGTAGGATCTTTACATTACAAACACCCCTATTGTGTTTCAGAATGTTTCGGCAATGGTATTTGCACCCCTCAGTCGTACTTCTGTAGCTCCAGGTGTGTGTGTTCCCGATTCTGGGCCGGCGTCTGTTGTAATGTCAGAGTACCCAGAAACGTTGGAGGTGATCCTCACTTACAGACAGCAGATGGTGGGTGAACATCGTCAACATTTTTCATCGAATTTAACTCACTTTATCTTTAGACATGTTTTTCAAAATGTTTGGAAAGACGTAATATACTGCAGCTCTTCGAATCACGTGTGTAACATACGTGTATATTTTAGAGTATTAATATAATTTTTCTTTGCAATTAATCGGCGATTTAGTATGCATCGGTGTTTATTATCTAATCATACCGTCTCGAAAAACAAAGGAAAGCAATCACCGTGAAATGAAATAATCGTTGTGCACCATGTTTGCTAAAGTAATGGTATAACTTACTGTATGAATTTGTTGTTTCCTAAGGTATTTCCTACGACTACCATGGTATCGGAGAGTTCTGGGACTGTATGAGTACAGCTAACGACTTTGGCGTACAAGTCAGGTTCTTCGGATATAAACAAGCGTCACTGGTCGGTGCCGCCGCGGTCAAGGTCGGCCAAAGTGTGGCCACCATCACTACACCGGCCAATGCTACTGAGACCACCCTTCCTACTTTAAGGTGAATTGGGAATATAGAAAAATATACTAGTAATATTGCCTTAAGTAATATGACATTAAAATCCGGAAATATTCTATCAAACTTTGGATCTATAAAGAAACAGCATGATGGTTGCGCTTGTTTTATCAAGCATATGGTCAATGAAATGAATGGATGTATTGTTTTAAGATATTAATGAGATACCATTGCAGACGTCTTACTGCATGTCCCATGTAACTCTCGGTAATATAGAAAAGCCCGTATATCTGGCATATAAAACGCATATACGTACGTTTAGATCACAATTCTTTTTTACTCAGAATTGACGGGCTAGTCCAGAGCATAACCAAAAACAACACAAGATTGACGCTTAACAACGACACCGTCATTGTAGACATTGCTAAAGTCAGGAACAACGCCACTGGTGCCGTGATGATGATTGCAATCCAGTATGACACCGGTATGTATACTGTTATATTTATGTTATTTCACCCTAAGGCGTGTAATTTGAAGAAAATATCCTCATGCACGATAGCCACTGGATGTGATATAGACTGTGAGTTGATAACTGGTATGTGTTCCGCTATATATGGAGCGGCAGAGCAAAGTCCCATTAATTTTTTTCCATTATCTGAATAGTTACCCCGTTCCTTTCCTCACGCCTGTGGTTATTTGCACGGATTGTGTCAACACTTTATTTCCCCTTAGGTGTATCTGTCACAGTAGACGTCCGGTTCAGTCCATTGATGGGGCGCCTCTTCCTTAACGTGCGTTCTGGTCTAACGGCCAGTTTTAAGGGGCAGACGTCTGGACTGTGCGGGTTGATGGACGATAACCAGGACAACGATTTCACCATGGCCAATGGCACCGTGGTCACCAAGGACAAGGCAGTGGAATTTGCCGAGTCATGTGAGTCATAAGGAAAAAATAATACAGCAACTATTAGAGAGAATGATCAATGTACTGATGAGCTTGATTACATATTTATTCTTGAAATTCAGAGTATGGAGATGAAACACCATATGGTTTGTAGACTGTATATAGGCTTGTAATTAATATGCAATATTCTTTAGCGTGTTTAGAAGGAATATTCAACCATTTGCTCCTTTGAAAACATTTTAAACATTTGTCGTTATCACCACAGGGAGAATTAGTACTTCATTTTCTGGTTCTGGATTATACGGAAGTTGGTCCTGGGACAGTTCAAACTTCCACGCTGATGACGTCATGGACCCCTCCTACACCGACCCCAGTCTATACAATCCGGCCTACGGTCCTGTGAACGTGTCACAGGCTGAGATGAAGGTCAGTGCCCTTTTACCTATTTATAACGCATAGCCATTGCGGTCAAAATGACTGTGTCCACCACAAATACGCAATGTCACACTGGTACATCAATACAGAATTATGCTGTAAACGTATGGTAAACAATCTGATTAGATACTTAACATGAAACCGCTCTGTTTCAAGAAGACTTATTATCTGATTTATTTTCTGATAAAGTAGTGTTGTCTCGGACACATATTGTTGTAATTGCTTCACTTGTGCTTTACATTACCGCATAGTTTTAGAAAGCTCTTGAAGTTATTTCCAAACACACCAGTACATTTAAGGAAAACAGATACATGTGGTAATTCCAAATGATTGGATTATCAAAATTAGTAGCATAGTCGGTGAGGTGTAAAGATGAGCCCGAGTAGGTGACATTAACATTTGCAACCTCTTTAATGCTATACCGTCAATACCCCAATATTCAGGCTGCAGAGACGGTATGTCAGGGGAAAGGACTGGAGGGCGTATTACTGCAGGAGTGTGTCTATGACATCGTGGTCACGAAAGATATCACTTTCTCCAACCAAGAAACATACGAATTAAGTGAGTATTAATATATATATATAGAATTTCTAACACCACTCCTTGCCTTATCTGCCTGGCTTAAATAAAACTTAATAAATATTCCGTATTAAAACGCTAACATACTTTGTACATGTGCAGTTTCACAGTCTGGTAGCACGTAGAGAGTTGGAAAAAAGAATATATATATATATATACACAGTGGCACAACCAGATATAATAACTGATTGATAAAACTGAGAATATTAATGGATATTATAAAATCATAAATAAAAGTGTATGTGCGCATGCGTTAGCATTCTTTATCTTATTTTCAAATCCTCGTTTTATTTTGTGTTATTTTAACTGCTTAATCAATATTCTTTGCTAGACGTCTGTAAAGCCTCTCTTCTGGTCCTCAAATCAAGTTCGGTCCCTTGGTTCTAAACTGTTTACCAGAGGCTCTGTTCTGGTCCTACACCTGTAAATGTCCATCATGACGTGTTCTAACGTGTTCCCCAAACGTGTCCTTGGCTGACTCTCTTTTGGGCCCCAAACTTTTTCTGCGGTATAGTCTTCATTTGGAAACCTGCCAGTATGNCATTTTAGTAATATTAGGCATCCTAAAGGTAGTCACGCAGCAAAACTTTTGTGTTCTTTAAAAAATCTGAGAATATATTATAGCAAATATAATACAATTTAAATAATTGAAATGCATTTCTTTCCAACATTCAGTTTACGTCCGTTTTTTGGTAGCCTCTCAAAATTTTAAACCTCAAATATTGGAGACCATAATAGAGTCAGCCAAGGACACGTTTGGGGAACACGTTAGAACACGTCATGATGGACATTTACAGGTGTAGGACCAGAACAGAGCCTCTGGTAAACAGTTTAGAACCAAGGGACCGAACTTGATTTGAGGACCAGAAGAGAGGCTTTACAGATGTAACGTATACAATAATATATGCATACCTGCATGCACATACAATCACATCTGTGACTGTAGCCTTATAATATAACGTTATTGTCAGGTTGTCCTGGTCAGTGTAATGGTAAAGGGAGGTGTGTGAACAGCACTTGTCAATGTAACGACGGCTGGACTGGAACCGACTGCTCTATAGGTAGGTACATGTAACATGTCACTTTGGACAACGCCCTACAAGGAGATATACAAAGGTGGAGTTGACATATATCTTAGCAAAAAGATATTCAATGTCTATTTAGATATTTTTTCCACTTTTTTCTTTTCCACTTTGTTTCTAAACATGTACCTGCGACATCCACTGCTCTGTGCAATAATAATAATAATAATGCTTATATATAAAATTAGATATGTTTTGAATTATTATACAAGTTACAATACTCAATATCACTCCGGTTCATACAGGTTCCTGTGGTGCCTGCGTCAATGGTGTGTGTGACAGCGGTTTCTGCGTGTGTACTGTGGGCTGGGAAGGGACAGCCTGTGACCAGAAAGGTAACTTTAAGGAACTTCCAAAACACCCGTTTACTGTATGCACTCGATTGCTCTTCTGGAGCACTCTATTTTGTACGTTAGTCACAGCTGTGTACTGTATAGCATTAATTCTCCTTTCGTCTGACGGTTGTGGCCTAACCATTATCAGTCTTGTTAATAAACAAATGTATCGCAGTCACGATTTCAAGTCTTCTTTGGTCAGGAAGAGACTTGTAAAACGCATCAAGAAACAAGAAGTTATGTCTAGTAGAATTAATTTAATCATTATGATGTATTTTATTTTAAGAACATTGTGTTTGATAGAAAGCTTCAAAGCATCGTATCAGTAACGCTATAATATGAGTAAGTGTATAGAAGAGGAATAAGTGTGATGCATATCATAATGTGCCATACCTCACAATACATAAGTTTTCTTAAAATGTACTATTAACATCAACGCCATACTCTATTCCAGCAACGTGTCTGTATGTGAATAACTGCACAGACGAGGATCACGGTGTGTGTTACAAAACCAACAGGTGTCGCTGTCTACCAGGATTTGTGGGTATGTATTGAGTACCACGTACGGCGTGTGTTACAGGACCAACAGGTGTTGGTGTCTACCAGGATTTGTGGGTATGCCTTACAATAAGGATAAACTTTCGTGTTTTTGTGAACCGTCTAAAATGACTTAAACTTTAATTTATAACTGTACTGAATTTCAGTGTATCAATTTCCATTAACGAATTAACTAATCTATGGGCTCCAACATGACTCCAGATTCGACTCAGTCTTTCACTTTACGTGCACAGAGAAGCATAACAGAACAACCTCACATCTTCAGTCTCAGATCAAAAAAGTGTCTTTATTATGTACAGGCTTCGAGTTATATACAGATTATCTACAGGGAATCTATGCGTAAATGTGGCTGCTACTTATTTACATACTAATCGTTGTGCAATATTAACAGGTGATATGCATCTGTCTCAAGCATAGGCCTACCTATGGGCCTCTACAGAAAATAATATTTATGTATACAGGACAGACGCAAATTAGATAATAACATGTTGATTAACTATGACTACACAATGTGGGATTGTGTGGAATACTTCATAAATTCAGCAGTGTGTTTTCAAGGCAAAAGGGCAAAATCTTCCAGAAGCCGAGCGCACACCCGAGTTGGATGGCAGTTGGATCGATCTAAGTAAAAAATTGTTGATTTGGAATGCACCTTACCTGTATATAAATTAATGTACCAAGTTTCTGTGGCAAAAAAGCACGAACACTTATTTATGCACGTCTTCAATTCTGTATATTTAGGTAGTGACTGTAGCATCGTTGCAACTTGTTTCAACGTGTCTGACTGCTCCGGTCACGGGGTCTGCGTGGACTTTGACGTATGCAAATGTGACAGCGGATGGGCGGGGCCAAATTGCACAGAGTTTTCTTGTGAACTTCTGGCGGCGTGCTCAGGTGTGTTGTTCATAGGAGAGATTTTTACGATTGTTTTTACGTGAATGATATGAAAAAAAGGATGAATTTAAGAAAGTACACAAAAATAGAAATACAAAACGTTTTTGTATAATTCGACATGTAACAATATGCGATAGAATAAAGCAGTACTATACGATACGCCAGTATACACAGTGTATATAACTGTTATGTGGGTTATCATCAGTAGTTCAATTAGAAGAATGTTGAAGCATGTACCTTTCCAGGCCACGGTCAGTGTAAAGGATTTGATGTATGCAGTTGTGACAATGGTTGGCAAGGAGACAGCTGCGCTCTGCCAGACTGTTCTTCAAATAATGACTGCTCCCTACACGGGGTGTGTACGTCACCTCACACGTGCACGTGTTATGACGGTTACCATGGTGAAAACTGTACCGCAGTGAAAAATTGCACATCGTTAAATGGCTGTAGTGGCCACGGTATATGCGCTGCCTTTGAAGGGAATGATACGGCTGTTATGTGCAGGTATGGTACTTTTCGTTACCTTCAGTTAGAGGTGGTAGGTGTTTGGTTATATATATCATAATAACAGAAATCCCACAGCCATTGTCTATTAAATCGACACTTAACAACTGTTTTTAAAATATATGTAAGATCAAAGTATGGGCTGGGTCTCTTTGTGACACTTAAAATAAGATGATATTAAAATTGTTATTATAATTTTTACAACTGGCCGTATGACAAATTTAGAGAATTTCAGAGGGGGGAAAACAGTACATGTATTTATGATTTTATTTTCTCCCTTCTAAAATGATATTTGTAACAGGTGTTTTGAGGGCTACCGTGGCGACACGTGTGACACCGTCTCATGTTCAACCGTAAACAACTGTTCAGGACATGGTGCGTGTTTGGAGCCCAACCTCTGTAACTGTGACCCAGGCTTCGGGGGAAATGACTGCTCTAATTTCTCATGTGAAGCTCTTGGATACTGCTCTGGTAAACATTCTTTGCCTGAATAAATGTCATAAAACATTATTGTATATTTATTCTGTCTGTGCGACTTACCTGTTTATTTTGAAAGAGAAAGCGTTAAAACATCCACTTGACCAGCAGATAACTGCCAGTAATGCGTTCATTGGGAGTTTACACACGATTGCATTGCCTTAGTGCGGAATAAACTAGTTTAAAACAAAGTCGTAAGCCTTATGTGTTAGCTCCGCAACGATTACATTTGTTGCTTTCCCTATATTACGCTATGTGACATACTTGTGTTTGTCTTTCCTCTATGCAGGCAATGGACAGTGTGTATTATTGGACATGTGTTTGTGTTCTCCCGGCTGGCTGGGTGAACGCTGTGACGAGCCCGTCTGCAGTGATGTGGCCAACTGCTCTGGTAATGGAAGTTGCGTCTCACCTAACCTGTGCGAGTGTCTGGATGAATACGACGGCGTCGACTGTTCTATTAGAATTGGTTCTAACTATCACAGCCCAATGTTTGCATACAACTGGTACAATGGCACTGTGCCGGAAAATGCCCCACCAGGGACTATTATCGTGTTTCAAGAGAACATTACCATGATTAACGCGACAGACTTAGATACAGGGCGAAATGGCAAACTAGAGTATACTTTCTCTGGAAGCAACGGAGCGGAGCGGTTTTTCAACATGGACAGTCAGGGACAGTTATCAGTGGTAGCCAAACTGGACTACGACAGTCTTCCGCAGGAGTTCATTATGACAGTAGTGGCATCTGACAAGGGCGTACCGCCCAAGAGTGCTGCTACCAAGGTCGCCATCATTGTCCAAGACGTCAACGATAACGCGCCAGTTTTTCAGTTGGTTGGTTTCCCAGATATTCCAGTGAATGCCAGCGGCGAGCTAGGACGCACGGTAGGGCGGTTCCTGGCCACAGACAAAGACAGTGGGTCGTACGGAACGGTTCGACACTCTATAACCAACGAAAGCAACCCTGATGCTGTATTTGCTGTCAATGAAGACACTGGAGAGCTGAGCGTCGTCCGGTACCCAGTCCAGTATCGATATGACCTTACCATTTTGGCGGAGGATGGAGGAGAACCACCAAAGTCCGCCATCTTGCCTGTTGTTATTTCTGTCTACGGACACCTAGTTGAGGGGCGAAATGATACAATCGTTGTGAACCCTACGACTAACACCGTAGCACTGGTTTCCACGACTCTTGGGAGTTCTGTAACCACGGGCACCCCGGGTAAAGTTGAGGGGCGAAATGATACAGTCGTTGTGACCCCTACGACTAGCACTGTAGCATCCGTTTCCACGACCCTTGGGAGTTCTTCAACCACGGGCACCGCTGGTAAAGTGACAAATAGTGGGACAGTACCAACGCCAAAGACGACGACAACACAAGGTATGTTACAGTAGCTCAAAACAATGACCAAGTTAACACGTATGAATTGAATCCCGCTTTTATCTTAACGAACACAAACACCTGATAAAAAGTTAGTAATTTCCAGGCCCGGTGATGTATAGGCTAATAGGGTAATTTTATAATAATACGTTTTTCAAATACGTTTTGCACGTATTACCAAGTCCTTAAATATGCGTGCAATATCTGTATGTTTTCTGAACATCTACATGTATATTTACAAATAACGTATTTGGGGATACGCCAAGCTAAGAAAAAAGTAAAATAACCAAAAAAATGAAAAAAATAAAGGTAAACCGAGGATGATATACAGAAAAAGATAACTGCAAGTAAATGAAACAAATTATATTCTCTTTACTTCAGCAACTGTGGTAAAGTCCCCACAAGAAGCATGGTACCAGACGGTGGGCTTCAAGGCCGGCGCAGGCGCAGTTGGTGGAGTGGTGGCACTGTGCCTTATTGCTGTTATTGCCTATCGCTGTATCTGGGGACAGAAGTATAAAGGCGGGTCAGTGCCAGAGCATCCCCGTAGATCGTCCCCCATGGCCTACACACACCAGATGACATCTATCGGGGCAAACAAATACGTCACGGAAGGAGACATCGGCAACATTGAGGACATTGATGCCTCGGCGGATAGTGAGAACGAGACTTCATTTCCACCTGGGAGACATGCATTTAGCAATCAGGCATTCAATTAGACATTGTTTTATTTTCTAAGATATTATAAACAATGCTTTTAGATGCAAAGCACTAAAGTGGTGATGACGATACATGCGATATCTGATCCGTGCCGGCTTTAATTTTGAGAGATGAATGTTAGATGCGCAGATTCAAGAAAACTAGAAAAATTATTTGGAAATGAAATGCATGTTTTGATTATTACGGTGCTTCAAGATAATAAAATTGACCAAAAAATAACAACAAATGATTAAAATGACCAGAAGGTTTCAAATATCAGATATGAAGAAGGTTATTGATATTTTGAATATGTAATACACATGCCATCTTAATCCCGAGAAATTTATGGTAGTCAAAATTAGGAATTATTAATTGATCATAATATATTAAATAAGAAACGCTGCTAGTTTATTGGCGGCTTGCTGCAATGTGATATGGATCACGGAACAACAAGAATAATTCCATGCGTTATTAGCAGTTATATACGGGACCAACTGACATTTATAATTTTAATTTATATATAATGAATTTTTTCCAAGTATTTTTTTTTCAAAAAAAGTAAAACCCACTTGTACTGTTTTTATATCATATAAGCTGCTGCTTGTCCAGCGAGGTCACACATTGAAAGTGGTTGTTGATTGAAAAATCAAATAAATATTTCACTTAGTGCAGGCAAAATGTGTCCTTTGCTTGCGTTATAATGCTCAACCTTGAATATCTTTTGAAAAACCCTTGTTAATTCCCAACACCCCAACATGGCAAACCCATTGCATGAAATGTCATAGATCCCTCTTATAATAAAGTTCTAATTAGCCAAATACAATACTTCTCAATGCTAATCATTCCGTAGTATTTTAGTGGGAATCGCCTTAATTTATTATAAACAGCAGACGGCACAGCTTTGTTACTTTATATTAAGTCCCCTTTACAGTGGACGGCGTCATTTCAGCGTCCCTTCTACAATCAATAATGTGGTCAAGAAGCTCAATTGTCGCCAAAGCAATTAAATCCTGTCTCAGTGTAAATGCTTCTTCGTCCCTTGTGCCTTCTTTGAACGACCGAATATAGGTTTTACTGGTAAAACAGCGAGCGACCTGTGCGTCCATTGAGCTACCCGCCTGCCTCCCCTGTGCGTCCCCTGCACAACCTACGGTGTTCAAGGATTCATTACGAACCCTTCATAACGCACTCTGTACCTTCATCGACGTTCAGTGGCTATCATTCTAAAATCTTTCTGCCTCCTGCTAGACCGATAAACGATGCTTGGGCGTTCTGTGTGCGATCTAAACGATCTCCGTGTTCTTTGAGCGTCCAACGGGAACCTGACAAGTTTCATGGTCGCACAAAGGACGCAAAAAGGACGCCGTCCAAGTGTAAAGAGGGTTTTACTCCCAAGATCAATTTACAATATTGCAGATGTATATCTGAAGATTTACGAAACCCCCAGACTTCGCTTCCATAGTTCAGGTTCGGTAACATATTTATCAAAGAATTAAATCGAACCGAAAGCCCGCTGATGTTGCTAGACGCCGATTCTTTGTTAAACAAATAAACTGTATTTACATTTTTACCGTAACTACTATAACTTTACGTATATATACTATAACAGTTTTCATCAAGCCCAGAAGAAAAACAGAGTACCTGTATCCTCCCTTTTATACCACCCACGCCAATCTTCATTGGACGTGCATTGAACTACTACTCATAACTGTACCTCATTACGTTATCAACCCAAACATATCCACGTACCTTCTTTTTCATCACAAACTGTGAATACAAAAATCTTCCGCTATACTAAGGAAACGCGGAAAATATTAATTATCTTAATATGTACTGTGCAGAAAACAACTCAAGACAACGCTACTAATTCACTAATATCCTTTATTTGAATCCCTCTCAGTCGCCCACTCAGCCCAATATAGCTTTTTTATGGCCACGTTTGCCTCGAGTGCAATGAACTCTTCTTAATGTAATTTATATAATGAGTTACACTAGATTGATCTAAAGTGCCAAGCACATATCTATTTATTTTATTATTATTATTATTATATCTGAAATAATATGGAAAAAATAGAATCTAATAAGATATCAAGTAAAAATGCTGTCTAAGAACAGTGGCGGATTTAAGGGGGTTGTCAGGGGGTCCTGACCCCCTTCAATTTCTGAAAAAAATCACACCAATGGACCCCACTTGAAATTGGAATTTTGACTTGCTGAATCATAACAATCAGTTCTAAACAGTACCGAAAGGCACCGTTCGCCCTCTGAAATACCGAGCTAAACGCCTAGACGGCCTGTCATAGCATCCGCGGCCTGTAAGTCCTAAAAACCGGACCCCCCTTAAAATAATCCTGGATCCGCTCCTGAAGAATATACATTGTGGCTTTTTTTATTAAGTATTAACATCGAACACAACGCAACAGGTTACAGTATGCACCATTTCGGTTTGGTTAGATTATTGTCCCTCGCCCCCAAATAGGTTAATAAGAGAAAGATAGAAGATAAGAAACGGAGAGAGAATGAATATACACAATTGTTGAGTTGTGAGGTTCGATTTAATGTTCACCGATCGAGAAGAAGTAAGCAACAAGAGTCTTGGATTTCCAAACACCTTTATTCCTACTGCTTAAGTTCGAGGCGCCACCGCGTCCCTTACAGCGGCTACAGTACGTAAGAACTTTTCAGAATTCTCTGTTCGCAACAATTTCTTTGACAAAAAAAGATTTTGTAAAAAGAGGAAGAACGATTATATTTCCTAGAGGATAATGTTTGCAAATAACAGGAACAAACTGTTACAGATAAATTCTTGAAAGACTGCCCCTTTGTGACAGGAAAAAGGGATGAATTAAGACGACCAAAACCTCAGACGGGGATTTTTTTGTCTCATCGTCTGCTTGTCCCTATCACAATTGACGTTTGTTTATATAACCTGTCAATCAAGCTGTCATTACCTGACGGGATCTGTCAAAACTGAATGATTTGATTGGCTCGTTGTCAATCAAATGGTGAAGGGAGTTGACACTTCACATGTTCGACAACTGTAGTTATCAACTGCGTAATGATTGTGATTGGCGTTTGTTTATAAAACTGTCAATCAAAGTCGTGTACTTTTGACAGCTTCCGTCAAAATTAAATTAAACCGTATGAGTTTGGTTGGCACCTGTCTATCACAACGCTTTTGTTAGTAGAAAGCCAACGTTTTCCATGCAGCTCTATTAAGTCTCAATTCCTACCAGTCCTGATAGGTACGTCTCGACACATATGTCTTGACAGATAACGGGACCCGATACTTTCCCATACCTTTAAACCCATGTACCGATAAGTGCACGTGCCGATAGAATAATTAGACTAGTCTGCTTTTGAAAATGCCACCTATCTAATGGTGGCATCTTATTTAATTTTAATCAATTAAAATTATTTCTTGTAATATTAAATACCAATTACCATTACCTGAGGGCCATGGGGAAGACAAAAATTTAATTTACTATGTTTTATCCTAAATAACTATTTTTTATAAATAAATAAATAAAAAGTTCGCTTTGTTATTTATTATAAAAAGCATTATATTTACCCCCGAGACCTTGAATTTTGATACGGATTACCGTACAAACTTCATTCTTCAGTAAGACTTGTGCTGTGTGAAAAATAAACATACGGAGACATTTGCTCCCAAATATATACTAAGCTCCATAAAAACATGTAATTTGATCATATAAATTTTGAAAGTTCCCTTTCAGAAAATGTGTCCTTACTTTGAAATACTGGTACAGAGTGAGAACATGCGTTTTTCAGGCGTCTGGACTGGTAGTTTAATTTGGTGCTTTGCAAAAGTAATCTTCTAAGAGTAGGTAGTTGTAACTTAAGTTTCGTTCGCAAAGGTAATTGAAACATTTGGCAGTGTTGTCCGCACGCTAGTTTTCTCAGCCCCATACAAGGCTCCAATTGGGTATTTTCCTTGCCTGTGAAAGCCACTATTTACTTCCCAAGATTCGTGAAACGCTTATTTAGCATGAAGCATCCTATTCCTGTGACTCGTACATGCAGCTTTTTACTCTCTGTTATTCGTGAAAGAAAGTCTTTATACCCGGTGATTCATGATACGTGATTTTTGACGCTCATTTTCAGTAAAATTTGAATAAAGTTTTATTTTCTGTGATTTGTGAATTGATAATTTTATTTCCCGTGAATTGTGATCACCCCCCTCAATGGTACCCTCTCTGGGCTGTATCCTCCCGAGGGAGGTGAGAACAATACACCTAGTCTGAGTCAGTATTAGTTTTTTATGTACTTTATAAAACACATCTGTTAAGTCAATCCTAGCTGTAACAGCTCTAGTTAACTAAGCTGTACTCACTCTAGGTCCTAATGAACGCTGTCACTAATTTTAACGTTCTATACAAATCGGGTAAACAAAAAACGCATCTTGTCTTCTCTAACACAATCGGTACAGATTACTTTTTTTTGGGGGGGGGGGGGGTGAAACATAGCCAAATAATTTGATATCAAACTTAATGGTTGATAAAAAGTTATTATTTTTGCCATTATGATGGTAGAAACCCTAAATCACCATCCCGGGATTAGGACCCCTTGCGCCATATGAAATAACAAAAACAAGTTTAAATCGAAACTTGCGTACAAAAAGCGGGTGACCTGTACATTATTATGTAATACAGGTGAGCATTTCGGTGAGAGGTGTTCAAGTAGGACCAAGGTCAGTAGAAGATGGAGAAGACAGAGGTTCTTGGTACGTTGCTGCAATTTCCACATGTAGGCCAAAAATTTAGCACAGAAAATGACAGGAAGTTGCCGTAGTATTGTATAGATGATATAAGATAACGCTGTGTATTTTGTGTTGACGACAATTGCCCAAATGATGCGTTTCGCACTGGGACATTTTAGTCCTTATGACTGTGGGAACATTCCACTTATGTCCAATACACTCTCCATTAGAATTTCAAAATCAGCTCAAAGTTTGAATGGTTTATTTTCTGTAATTTCAGAGAGGGAACGCACTTGCCAT